CTGCAGAGACATGTTCACATTGAAATTTGCTTTGCCAAATATCAGGACTTCACTTTAAACAATATCTGCCATTTCAAAAAATTTTTAAAATGTGTAAAAAATAGTTTTTTTTTTAAAGCAAGTTGACACAGTGAATAACTAGACGCTTTTGTAGCGTCTTTGGCCGATATAAATGCCCATGTGCAGAACACATTTTAGACGTCTTCCGTGGGCGCTTTCTTTTTAGACGCTGTTCAATAGTAAATCTCTGTGTGGAGTCCACTGACAGGCGACACTTGGTCATGTCTACTGTGTTTAACAAACAGCACTATTTGTAGCTAGGCATATCTTCATGTAATCTAATTTGATTTCCTCAGTTCTACTGATTCTATTTTTGTTTCTTATCCTTTATAATTATTTCTGTAAGGATTTTACTTATTTTGAAGGTCTATTTAATATTTATTTTGACAGCTGAATGTAAAAATAAAGGTCTGCAATAAAAAAAAAAAAACTGCATGGGGTCCCCCCTCCCATCCATACCAAGCCCTTCGGGTCTGGTATGGATATTAAGGGGTAACTCCATGCCGAAATTAAAGAAAAAACAGCATGGGGTTCCCCACAAAATCCATACCAGACCCTTATCCGAGCATGCAGCCCGGCAGGTCAGGAAAGGGGGGGGGTGAGCGAGCGCCCCTCCCTCCTGAACCATACCAGGCCACATGCCCTCAACATGGGGGGGTGCTTTGGGGCAAGGGAGGCTCCCCCCCCAAAGCACCTTGTCCCCATGTTGATGGGGACAAGGGCCTCTTCCCCACAACCCTGTCTGGTGGTTGTGGGGGTCTGCGGGTGGGGGGCTTATCATAATCTGCCCCCCCCCACGTGAGTGAGTATGCGGTACATGGTACCGCTACTCATTCACAAAAAAGCAAACGTCTAGTGGAAAAAAACACAGTACAGGGTCTTTGACAAGTCCTTTAATAAAACAATGTCCCCCGAAGTAGATCCAACGTCAATCACACTGTCAGGCGGCGGCGACCCGAAAAAAGAAAAGTTCCGATCCTGACAGAGGCTACCAGCCTTATGCAGTGAGCAAGGGTGACAGCTCTTAAATAGGTAAGGGGTGGGGCCAGCCTGGACATCATCCGAGTGACCCCGCTCCGGGGACATCAAACATGTGATCCCACCCCATGTGACATCAATGATGTCACATGGGCGGGGTCACTCGGATGCTGTCCAGGCTGGCCCCAACCCTTACCTATTTAAGAGCTGTCACCCTTGCTCACTGCATAAGGCTGGTAGCCTCCGTCGAGAGCGGAACTTTTTTTTTTTCTTTTTATGGGTCGCCGCCGTGACACCGTGATTGACGTTGGATCTACTTCAGCGGACATTGTTTTATTAAAGGATTTGTCAAAGACCCTGTACTGTGCTTTTTTAGACTACACTTTTGCTTTTTTTTTGTGAATAAGTAGCGGTACCATGTACCGCATACTCATTTATGTGGGGGGGGCGTGATCTGGGGGCCCCCTTGTTAAAGGGGGCTTCCAGATTCTGATAAGCCCCCTGCCCGCAGAACCCCACAACCACTGGCCAGGGTTGTGGGGAACAGTCCCTTGCCACCATCAACATGGGGACAAGGTGCTTTGGGGGGGAAGCCCCCCTGCCCCAGAGCACCCCCCCATGGGTGCTCGCTCGTCCCCCCCCTTTCCTGACCTGCCGGGCTGCATGCTCGGATAAGGGTCTGGTATGGATTTTGTGGGGAACCCCATGCTGTTTCTTCTTTAATTTCGGTGTGAAGTTGGATGGGAGGGGGGACCCCACGCAGTTTTTTTTCATTGCAGACCTTTATTTTTACATTCAGCTGTCAAAATAAATATTAAATAGATCTTTGAAATAAGAAAAATCATTACAGAAATAATTATAAAGGATAAGAAACAAAAATAGAATCAATAGAACTAAGAAAATCAAATTAGAATACATAAAGATATGCCTAGCTACAAATAGTGCTGTTTGTTAAACACATTAGATGCGATCGAGTGCCATCTGTCAGAGGACTCCACACAGAGATTTACTATTGAACAGCGTCTAAAAAGAAAGTGCCCACGGAAGACGTCTAAAATGTGTTCTGCACATCCGCATTTCTATCGGCCAAAGACGCTACAAAAGCGTCTAGTTCTTCACTGTGTCAACTTGCTTTAAAAGAACTATTTTTTACACATTTTAAAAAAATTTTTAAATGGTAGATATTGTTTAAAGTGAAGTCCTGATATTTGGCAAAGCAAATTTCAATGTGAAAATGTCTCTGCAGTGATTTTTCATAGTGTTAGGCGTGCCTCTTAGCAAGCTTGCTTTTTGAGTCTAATTCCTGGACTGTGTCTCATTAGTAAATTCGATTTGGCGTCTACTTGTTGACGCTTTCTTTAGTAAATGTCTTTGCGGTGTAAAAGTAGACGGTCACTATTAAAAAGTAGACATTAGCCCACGGAAATGCGCCTAGGCACAATAGTAAATCAGGGTCAATATGTCGGAGAGTTTAACCAGCAACAGGTGGGTAGTTGTCCTATCCAAGAAGAAGCAGGGTGGGGACTGTACCATTTGGTGCCAACATCTGCCCATCTGCCCAATCTGCTCCAACTTGTTCCAACACTTGCCTCCCCTTACACACTGAGAGATTGTTGTTATCCTTGCACAGGAAGTAATTTACTGGTAAAAATTATGGAATAAAAAGTCTACAGTAAAAAAAAAAAGCAAATGCAGCCATCACATCTAAGGGCTTGTAACCTGAAATACATTACATTTTTGTTCTTGTATTTAGATACCCTTTAATGTAGGAATGAATGGGTTAAACAGAAGGACTACTTGTGTAGTAATCTCTATACTGTCTTCTCCAGTTAGAACTTGAACCTAAATTCTTTATTCGCAGGGGCCCTGCAGGGATAATGAGTTTTAATTTGACAGTACATCTTTTTGCTGGATAGAAACGGGTTCATTTGGAATAAAACAGCAGAAAAATGTATGGAAGTGTTTTTTTTCCACTGTCAGGTCAAGCAGCAGATAAAAGCTCTTAAAATTAATAGAGCTGTATATTCCTTCCCTGCAGAATAAACAATGAACCATGCGCTGATAGCAGTATTAAACCCTGGAGCTTCCTGAGATATTTTTGTTCCAGAGTTTAAACATGCCGTCATCTGTGGCTACAGGCACCTAAAAGAGAACTGAGCTTTAAAATAACAAAATTGCAAGTTTACTCTCTGTCTTTCAATTTTCTTTGTTTGACTAAAGGAGAACTTCATCTTTAAAAAAAAAAATTGGCAGATAAAATTGCTAAACAATTTAATGTCATAAAAAAATACCAATCATTTTCAATTTAAAACTGCTGTAGTTTTCTAAAAATGTTGAAAATTCAATACAACATAGCAACCTGTGAACTAAACTAAAAAGGATTAGTTATGGACTCAACCAGGAATAGTGGGTTTTATGTTATACATGTATTAAATGAAAAGGCTGGTGGTCAAAAGCACATGAATGACTCTTTTATTTAGACAAAGACATATCTAAAAGCAACAAAAAAGCACCATGCTCCACAGGTCTTGTGTCCCCTACCCTTGGCAATCTGTACCCTGCTAGTAAACTTAACACCCCCAGAAATGTCATTTCCTATTTGTGAGATTGGCTGACTGATTTTCATACAAATCTGCACTACAGTTACATTTTTTTGCCTCCCCTGCATTAGGAATTAAATCTTTTATTAAATGCCACCTAAGTTTTAACTACTTCCAAAGAAATATCGATACTGCAATTTTCCTTATTAAAACACCAGGTGATTGTAATGAACACAGACCCTCCTATTTAGGAATCAGTCTAAAAAGGACTTTGTGAAACAAACAGGTTTTTTCTTCAGAACAAACAAAGTTGGCACTATTCTACAAAGTTTGTTAAAATCCTTGTAATTGCTCAGCTCACACAATGGAATATTCCTCACCCCAAGATCCCATGGATTAAATTTGCATTGGGTTCAATATATCCATATTATCTTCCAGGACTTTTGTGGTCCCACATAATTTCTCACTTGGACTTAACCCCCTTTAACTCTTTGGTGGCTCAATCCCTACAATTATGGAATCTGTATAAACATAAACACCAATTAGTTTCCTCTGTCTCTCCATTGACATCATTTTTAGGTAACCCAAAATTTGCAGCTGCTTTTTCCACTCCAGGTAATTTTCTTTGGTGGATGTCTAATAAATGTACTACCCCTTCCACCCTCAAAGGTAATTTTAGTTTTTTAGTTTGTTGCCTCATATTACACTTTACCATCACCTAGACTACCTACTTCCAATTGAAAAAATCTGTAAAAGTTCACCTAGAGGGAAAGGCTCTTTTTTTTGCTTTATAACATATTATTATTCACTCCTACAGTTGAAAAAATGCCATATATGATAAAATGGGAACAGGAATGTGGAGAACAATACTCTTTAGAGCAGCGGTTCTCAACCTTTGGGGGTCGAACGACTCTTTCACAGGGGTCGCCTAAGACCATCGGAAAACACATATTTCCGATGGTCTTAGGAACCGAGACACCGCTGCTCTATCCGTCTCCAGGTGTGGGCGGGATGACATGCCACCCGTGTCATCTGGACACACCCTCGGGATCAATCCCCGCCGGTGATTGGCCGCCGGAACTGTAGCTCAGGAGAGGCACACAGGCGGCCAATCACCGGCGAGGAGGTGGAGCTTGGAGAGGAGGAGCCGAGCGGCACCGCGAAGATCGAGCGAGTGAAGAGGAGGAGATCGGCCGGAGAAGACAGACAGCTGACCGGTAAGTGTCTGTACCATGGGAGAGGGAGGGAGCGAGCGAGCCCAGGCTGGAGCAGGGGTCAGCAAGGTAAGTATCATTGGTGTCAGTGGGAGGAATAGTGCCCCATCATTGGTGTCACTAATACCAATGATGGGGCACTATTCCTCCCACTGACACCAACGATGGGACACTATTCCTCCCCCCACTGACACCAACGATGGGACACTATTCCTCCCCCCACTGACACCAACGATGAGGCACGATTCCTCCCCCCACTGACACCAACGATGAGGCACGATTCCTCCCCCCACTGACACCAACGATGGGGCACTATTCTTCCCCCAAATGACACCAACGATGGGGCACTATTCCTCCCCCCACTGACACCAACGATGGGGCACTATTCCTCCCCCACTGACACCAACGATGGGGCCGCTATTCCTCCCACTGACACCAGTGATGAAGGCGCTATTCCTCCCACTGATAGCAACGATGGGGCACTATTCCTCCCACTGACACCAACATTTGGGCACTATTCCTCCCCCTGATACCAACGATGGGGCGCTATTCCTCCCACTGATACCAATGTTGGGGCACTTTTCCTCCCACTGACACCAGTGATGGGACACTTTTCCTCCCTGACATCAGTGATGGGACACTATTCCTCCCACTGACACCAGTGATGGGGCACTATTCCTCCCACTGACACCAATGATGGGGCACTATTCCCCCACTGACACCAATGATGGGGCACTATTCCTCCCACTGACACCAATGATGGGGCACTATTCCTCCCACTGACACCAATGACGGGGCACTATTCCTCCCACTGACACCAATGATGGGGCACTATTCCTCCCACTGACACCAATGATGGGGCACTATTCCTTCCACTGACACCAATGATGGGGCACTATTCCCCCCCACTGACACCAATGATGGGGCACTATTCCCCCCACTGACACCTATGACGGGGCACTATTCCTCCCACTGACACCTATGACGGGGCACTATTCCCCCCACTGACACCTATGATGGGGCACTATTCCCCCCACTGACACCAATGACGGGGCACTAATCCTCCCACTGACACCAATGACGGGGCACTAATCCTCCCACTGACACCAATGACGGGGCACTATTCCCCCCACTGACACCAATGATGGGGCACTATTCCCCCCACTGACACCAATGATGGGGCACTATTCTCCCCACTGACACCTATGATGGGGCACTATTCCCCCCACTGACACCTATGATGGGGCACTATTCCTCCCACTGACACCAATGATGGGGCACTATTCCTACCACTGACACCAATGATGGGGCACTATTCCTACCACTGACACCAATGATGGGGCACTATTCCTACCACTGACACCAATGATGGGGCACTATTCCTCCCACTGACACCAATGACGTGGCACTACTCCCCCCACTGCAAAATTACAGTTATGAAGTAGCAACGAAAATAATTTTATGGTTGGGGGTCACCACAACATGAGGAACTGTATTAAGGGGTCGCGGCATTAGAAAGGTTGAGAACCACTGCTTTAGAGAAATGGTCAACTATGATAGGTAATCTCCGTAAATGCACACATTCTCTCTCTGTTAGAGAAACAGCTATACAGTTTTAACTTGATGGTATTGTATACCATCTCAATTACATTATATGTTTTCTGAGACCTCTGAATGCTATTTTAGAGGCTGCAATGACAAAGGATCCTTTTTTTCATATGTTTTGGAGTTTTGAAAAGCTACAACCAACATGGCAAACCTTAGCTTCTCAGTTATCATCTAATTCTATCACTCAGCCCTCTCTCACTCTGCCCATGTGTAAATTATTTGCTCCTATTCCCAATTCATGCTTAGAAAAAAAAATGCACACACTACGTGTAACAATAATGTGGGCCATTGCATTTAATTGGAAAAATCACAGATTATGGACAGAATCAATGCTATTATATTGTCAGAGAGAATTTTTCACACACTTTCTGATTCCATGCATACCTTTTTATTCAAAAGGAATATCTGGTCTTCTATTTTCACTGCAATAGTGAACTATTTTTTTTTTGCATATAAAACTCTTATTATGGCATTGTTGGTATGATCACAACAGATATGTCTTATGTACCCTTTCTTTTTTCTTTTCTTTTTTTTCTTTTTTTTCTTTATTTTTTATTTTGTGTTTGTTATTGGATGATCAGATAATTAAAAAATGTTTTCCTCCATTTGATCTACAGTATGTTTATTATAACATTGTAAACTTATTGGCTCTTATATGAAGATAAAAGTCCAGCACCAGAACATCTTGAAAATAAATAATAATAATAAATAGATAAACATTATAGCATTATTTCATCCATTATGTATAAAAGAGGAATCGATTCCTGTAAATACAGCAAAAATTGCTATCTTTATATGACTAAGGCCTATGTAAAATGCTGTAACGTGTCAATTTTTGCTATCCTTACAGGAATTGATTCATACCTAATGGAGGAAAGAAAGCTATAATTTTTATTTTTCAAGATGTTCTGGTGCCGGACTATTACCGTCATATGGGACGTTTGGACATTATAGTACTGCTTGCGTCCTGGGGTTGTAGCACTATTTCTATGTCTCTATAGTTTACCGTATCTTGTACCTACTAAAGATATACTATTTTTGTAAACGTAGATGTTTATATTTTGTAATTGTACCTGGCATACAATATTTCTCAATAAAAAATAAATCCTTGTAATGTACATTGATCACCCAACAGGGATTGTTTTTTTTTTTCTCAAGGTGAGTATGCATATAGAAATGTTAATGTGATACACTTACTTGCCATAAAAGGCACCTCTGGGTTCTTGCACTCCTCCCTATCAATTCAATATGATGAGTATCCTAAAGCTGCCCATAAATTAATCATTTTTTGGCTAGAATGCATGAAGGTAAGAAAAACTTTCAGCCTTTACAACCACTTTAATCTGTGGATTGCCATACTACAGTAATCAGTATTAGCAAAATCAAATATGGGATTTTAAAAAGTTTGGATACATTTCTAAAAATGAATGGTATGCAAACAATAGTCTGTCTTTTTTCCATCATGTCTGAATTCCCTGTGGATTTAGGAAGGGACTTTTTCAAGTGACAAAACTTACCATAAACAGGCTTGTCTTGTGCTTTTGCCTTCCTCTGTAACAAAATTTCTGGAGTATGGAAGAAACTGGAGATGACTGATATTTGGGTTTTTTAACCAAAATAACCATGTGATAATGTAAGAGCAGAAATGTACATGACAAAAAAAACATGCTTGAGTGAGGATCATACATAAATCAGAATTTATTGTCTACTAAGTTACCAGTAAGAAGCACAGTAAGAACAGTAAGAAGCACATACTGTATATGAATGACTGTCAGTCAGTATTCAAACTATACTGCTGTATAAGGTGACATTGGTGATTGGTCACTTGTCTTTGCAATGGTGGCCATATGTGCTTTGGTTTTATTAGCTGGTCAATGTGTAATTTGACCTTATTGACCCAGTTGTCAAACAACTAAAGAGGCATAACTGCCCCTCTGATTATTTTTTAGTCAATTTAAATCAGATTCTATCATCTTTGAGTCAATCAGCCAGAGCAGAAAATTATTGATCATGTTACTTTGTTCATGAATTTGATTGTGTTTTGATCAATCAATCATGAGGTTGAATGCTATCTTTTAACTACAGATTGAAGTATACGTCCCCATGTGTGGCATATCGATCAGAACGGTTGTCGACTATAGATTAATCAGGAGGGGTCAATTGGAAAAGATATTGAACATTTATCAGTGTGTGTACGGTCACATTATGTTGTTGTGCTTTTAAAAGTACAGATTTAAAAAAAGGAACAGTGTAGAGAGAAAAAAGAAGGTTAAAGTATGTAGAGGGAGATGAGTCAATGGATCACATAAGGAGGAAAAGTCTGATCACTGTAAGCTAAAAATATTTTATAAATAGCTTTGGTTGTGGAATGTATTAACTGTTAGGAAAAATGTAAGTAATCTTCATTCTGAAACACGATCTGATCTATGGCAGCCACACCTTGGAAGATTATTCAAACTAACCATTGTCAGAGGGAATTATTTCTTCCATACTCAAGATGAGGTTCAGTTCGATTTCAGCAAAATACAAAGTCTGGAGATAATTTGTGCCCAAACAGGTTCTTGGAGTACACATAAGTAGAATGTTGACAACCACATTATTTTCTGGTTTCAATTATCATCCTTATAAACAATTTATAATAAAAGAAGATCATGATTGAAAGAGAATGACATTGTGTTATTCTTTAATGGTAGTGGAAAGTGTAAGCAAGGTTCTAGCTATAAAGATTTTCTATTTAGTATGGTGGTTGCAGTGGCAGTCAGAGGTAAAGAGTCCTTTGACACATAGCCAATCCACTACATTGAGCAAGGAATTCTTGCTCAGATCCCCTGTTGAATTGGAGCTGAACAGGAGAGATGTCAGTGTTTTGACATTCACGTGTGTTCGATGTGTGTATGCATTTACACATAGGACAAAGGCAGAGCTGTGACAGCTCTATGAGCAGCCAGATGTGAACAGACTTGTATCTGTTTACATCAGGCTACCTCCGATCCATCACATTTAGGTCCAAAAAACAGGAAAGTCCTTTTCCATTTTTTTCTTTGAACCTGGATGGACTCGGAGGTAGGTAAATGGACAAAAGTCTGTTTACATCAGCCTCCCACATCAAGTGTCCAATCAGGTCCACCTGAGAAAAGGACAGGTGGACCTTATCAGAAAGTCCATGTGAAAGGTCCCTAAGGAATATTCCAACCACCTGGGAGCATTTCATTTTGACTGTGGACCCTTGAACCTACACATTTACCAGAATGGGAGGGGCAGGCCTGGCAAGGAGCTCAAAGAGATCCAAACAAGATCTGAAAACCTGTCAATCGATTTTTGCTTACCATCTTTATCATAGAATAAAGAACACTCAAAGTGTACTTTTAAGGAGAAGAATAATGTAATTTTGGTGAGCACATATTTTGAATTATTATTTTTTTGCCTTGAAGTAAGTTTTCATATCACATTTAAATTTTACATTGCTTGTCCACATTTTTGCAATTGTATTAAACATTAAATTTGTAGATTAGCCACTAGAGGGAGCCATCAATGGTTCACTACAATTACTCTGTCTTTTTTGTTAACAACTGTTGAGATCAGTCACACAAGGAAAGCATTGTTTTCAATAACCCTGATTTACTAAAAGAATTGAGCATTTTTACTTTGCAAAGGAATTTTTACTTACCCTCATGACTGTGGAAAAGCTTTGCTAACTTCAATCATTCAAACATGTTTATGCAAAAATCTTGTTTTTAAATGTGCCCTGCACATAATTGGGTGTTCTTTGTTTAC